CCATTTGAAACTAAGGAGCCATTTGTCCTACGATTACATACAGTACAACAAGCTCTTCGGCGCCGCGTTTGCGGGACTCATGTTTCGCGCTGTAGGGGATTTTTAAAAAGTGACGTGAGTGGCAGTGTGTGTGTGTGTGTGCGGGAGGCAGAGCGGCAGAGAGATGCGACAGAGTTGCGAAATTGCAGGCGCGGCTCGAAATGGCTGTTATTTCAAATAGCGTACCATATTTTAAACTAATCGGTTAACCGGTTTCAACCGGCTACTGAGGCTCGGTGGTCGGTCAAGAATTTTTTTAGTTTTCGCCATCCCTATTTCAGACTGTGTATGGAATACAGATTTTGGATTTAGTTTTGGTTCTTTGTTTTCGGTTACCATCTCTGCTACCCACTACCTGTGTTTTGGATTACGTTTTTCAAATTGCAATTCGGAAATAAAACTAGTGCTTCTGCAATTAAATCCTTTGTTATCTCATCGTTACACAAATAGTTCCCTGTTCCCAGTATTTAATTTTTTAAGGAAAAAAGCTGATATGTAGAGTTAGCGCAACATAACACTATGTTTTCAAAGACTGCCAGAATAGGCTTGAACATCTTGAGTAACTGGGGGTTTCACCCAAGCTGTTATAATCATTCTCAGCATTATTTAATAACATAGGAGAGGAGAAGGTGAGAAATCAGCACACAGCAGATGGTCAGACAGAGAAATGTTTTACGATCTAGTTGTCAAAACACAGCCGTGCACAAATATTACATGAAATATAACGGCATCCTTAAAGTCTAAAGTAATGCTATTACATTAATGCTCAGTATAATATCCAAGTGAAGCCAAGGGAGAAATGGGACACTGTTCAAAATTACACCTGAGGATGTTCTGCTTCATGCATGTTGGGCTGTGGGTTTGATTCTTCTCCAGCTTTGTGTGTATATAGATCCTGCAAGTTCTTCTTGTGCTTGTGAACATTTTCTGCCACACTTTGAAGGCAGGTGGCTAAGCTGATTGTGTTTGCTGTTTGTGTGATTGTGTTTGCGCCTTATGACAGAGAAGCATCCTGTCCTGCGTGTCATTTGCTTTATAAACAACAACAACAAAGAAATGTACAATCCCATAAAATAATGAAAACATTACATCCATCCATGTTCTGCACCCACTTGTTGTATTCTGCAGACACAGAGCCAGACAGAGACTTGAACCCCAATCCAGAGGTGTGAGGCAACAGTGATAACCACTGCACCACCCCAAGAACATTACAGATATCATTAAAATCATAAGGTTCAGTGCTGTTTTCACACTGGCTTAATTGAATGCTACTGTCATTACCATACTGCACAAACATTCCTGAAAACATTTTAATAACAGGGTATAATTTTTGGCTGTCCTGTATTTCAAGTTTCGAATTAACAGAATTCAGTGGTACCTCAGAACTCGAACTTAATCCGTTCAGAACTCCGGATCGAATCCTAAAAAGTTAGAGTTCTGATCGAATTTTCCCATACGAAATAATGGAAGACCAATTAATTGGTTCCCAGCCCAAAAAAAATACACCTAAATATATTTTTTTTAGCATTTAAACACAAAATTAACCGGATAAAACAAGAGGAGCATATACTGTACTAAACACATCTAAGCACATTTATCAAAACTGTAATTTGTCCAATTTATCCAAACAATTTGTAAAGTAAAAAAAAAAAACGTGTTCTGCCCCGATCGTCCGTTCCTTCCGTGTGCCACGCCCCCTCGTTAACCCCCCCGTGTGCTCGGCTGTTTCTGGTTGTATTTATTAGCCCTCAGTATTTCGTCCGCGTTTCGGTTTGTTTCCCCAGTCAGGTCATTGTATTGTCCGTCCTTACCTGTAATTAAACCCAGTATTCCCTGATACCCTGATGTCCGCGCCTTTATCTCCGTTCCGTCCCGATCGGCACGACAATATAATTATAATTAAATGTATTAATGGTTTGTTATTAATATTAAAATAATTAAGAAATCTTTATTTTCAAATGTATTTTCTTATATAATAATAATTACTGTTAATGTCTATCATTGTCTAATGTATTTTTTTACTGTCTATATGTATTCAGCTAGTGTCACAGCGAATGCGAAGCTGAGACTGAAGCGTTACCCTTTGTTTCCGCTGAGAGACGTGTAGCGTGACTCATTTCCCGGCGCGTACAAGTTATCTTAGGTCGGCGTTCACGGTTTGACTTTTGAGATTCAGATCGAGTACTAGTTTTTTTTTTTTTCGAACTGGTTGGTTCAACTTTTAAGAAATTTGAGTTCTAATGAGTTCGAGAACTGAGGTATCCTTCAGTTTAACTCCAGTGGAGCATCTTTAAGGAAGTACTGCTACAGATGTGCAGAAGTGGGTAGTTCAGGTCCAGAAAATCAAAGTCCAGACCAAGATTTTGTTTCAGTCAAACAGCTGTGTATAAACAGTCCCCAACTACTCAACTGGTTGGTTCAAACAAAATCTTGGTCTGGACTTTTACCCACCTTTGGTCACAGCAATCGTAACTCTGTACTTACTGCTGTGTTAAGTTACTCATGAACTGCTCTGTTGAATTATCCTGAAGAAGCATCATCAGATCATTGAAGGCCTGGTTTGATGTCGCCAACGCCTTCTTAGCCACAACCTTGATATGCCCGGCAACTTCTTCATGACTGAAAGAGAGAAACAAAATAGTTAAGACAAAAATATCATAAAACATGAGCTGCAATTGTCAATAGCCTGTATTAAGGGTTTGTTATGAACTGGACCACATACCCTTTTCCTAGAACATGAGATTCGTTCACCAGTTGTGCCCATTGGTTTGGTTCTTTTGGGATGTCAAATGGAATCACCTAGAAAACAATTTATGTCTTAATCTTTATTCATGGATGATTTAGGAGCACTTTGATAGTTATGGACCAGCCCTGTAATCACTGTCACACTGTGGTCATAAAGATCAAGCTTGCTTAGTAAACATGCAGATATAGAGCCAACAATGTGGGGGGTTGGGGGGGTTTGATTGGCCCCCTGGGTGCTGGCTCTTTGTGATTGGCTTTGTTTTCCCAAAAGCACATATGTTAAACAACAAAAAACCGAGTTCTCAGACTTGCTAAGTATACATGAATCAAAATGCTTTTATGTCTTGTAGACTTCATGGTTCTATAGATGTGGGTGGCTCAGTTCATGCTCTCATCACTACCTGGACTATTGTAATGCATAATTTGATGGCCTCCCTACTAAATATATCAATAAATTACAGTATGTTCAGAATACTGCTGCTCGTTTACTTACACACACTAAACAATCTGCTGACCTCACTCCTCTCCTCTATGGTTTACATTGGTTGCCAGTTTCTTCAAGAATCAAATATAAAATGATACTCATCACCTTTAAAGCCCTGCATGGTTTAGCCTCTGATGTCAGTCTGAGCTTCTGCTTCCTTACACTCCAGCCCACGCACTAAGATCATCTGATGCTTACTTGCTCACTGTACCTAAGTACAGGTTATCAACTATGGGTAGCAGAGCATTTAGTGTAATAATAGTGCTATCTAAAATTCAGAATGCTCATCCTCATGGTCTTTGTGAAGAAAAATCTATCATCTATTTTCCAGCTCCTGTTAAAAACACATCTATTCAATGAATATTATTCGTCTTTGTCATGAACATGCTGGCACTGAGCAGGGAAGCAGGCACAGGAGTCAGGGGAGTCGGGTGAACACTGGGTTAATTCAGAATAGACACACTCAGGAGCACGGAACAATGTCAATGACTGAACTAGCGAAACATACACTGACATGCACTTAAAAACACCAAACTGATTGAACACAACTAGAAACAGCTGATAACAAGAGGATTCCACATGAGGTAAACGAGGGAGCGTGGCACACAGGAGGATCGGAACGACCGGGACTTGACAGTCTTCTTGTTGGTATCTTGTACTGTCTTATTGTACTGTCTTGTTGAATTGTAAAGTATCCTTGAGTGTATTAAAGGCGCTATATTATAAATAAAACTAATTCATCTCTTGAATGGATTTCTGCTCATGGATGCTATTACAATACAATATACGCATAGTTTCATTGCCTTTACATTGAATAAAATCAATTGTTCAGCTGTCTTTTTCCTCCCAAACTTTTCCCTTTAGAGAGCTGAATTTTCCACTGGAGCCATAATGATGGATTACATGCAGGATTAACTAAGGATGAATTAATATCAGAGTCCATTTGGGGCCTTGGGGTTGGGTCTATGGTTGGAATTCCATATATTGAAGAGTTTTAATAACTGCTGCCCACACAGAGAATTGCACTGTAATGGTATTTATGATCACAAAGAAAAGCTACGGAAGCATTCCTGGATAACTGTTATAAATATAAGCATATTTACAAAGTTACGGGAGCATTCCTGGATAACTGTTACTAATATAAGCATATTTACAAAGTTACGGGAACATTCCTGGATAACTGTTATAAATATAAGCATATTTACAAAGTTACAGGAGCATTCCTGTGGTTGGAACATTTATCGCTATAAATGCATAAAGTAAACAGTCTTCTCTGCTGCACACTCTCCTGGTGCTTTGTACAGATGTTTAATTGTTCTATAACCGACATGCCAACTTTTTGGAATCTCCTGGAATTGGAAATAAACACAATCAAACTCTCAACTGTTCATCAGTCACCAGAGTAAGATTCAGTTTTCCTCAAGGTGCCCCCCAGGCACCCCCCCCACCTTGGCTGTCATTTGATAATCAACCCTGGCAGACAAGTATACAACAGGGACTAATTATAACGTGTTACTGCAAAACAGTTGGTGAAAAACAGGTTCTCTGAAAAAGCTGAGGTGCATTTCCAATGACGATGGTATACAGCTCCCTCCCACTGGAATGCAGGGTACACACAGATTTCATTTATTTCATGCAGCTTAGTAATTTATGTTGGAGCCATATGGAAGACAATACTTAGACAATAGACTGACAACAAATTACGAAAACATGGAAGCTGGAAACTAAGATGGACACAATCAAAGAAATGTCAGTCAAAAGACTTAAGGGGTATAAGATCTGAAAGTGGCTGGATGGTTTCAAATTCAGAAATTATCTGAAGAATTTTGTTATCCATTAATAGTAGGTTTTTCAACAATGTGTTATTGTGCACGACAGCACTGTCTGATAGAAAAACAAACTGCACTAAAAAAATGCACATTGAATGTATTTTTCACAGCACTTTCTACCACTGAGGGTAATCTGCTAGAACGAAACTGCCCAAAATTGATTGTCTTCGCAAAACAAATAAAATATGCATAACATAATTACATTTCGTATCTGTAGATTTCTCTGTGACAGAATAATCTCATTACAGTTTAGGCCTGCCTGCACTGTAGACTGAATAGTTACTGTGAATCTGATTCTGCGATCACTCCTCCTGTTACACCATGCTCTTTCCTCAAAAGCTGCAAATATATCTATTATTTTATTGAAGAGTAGTAAGACAACCCACTATAGGTATATAGGTGGAGATTTAATTTGCTTCTGGACTCTAACATTATTACAGTATATCATGTAACGTGTCAATAAAGTGTCGTGACACACTGCCGTTCATTTTCTCATGGCCCTAATTCATTATCTGTTAGTGCTAAATGAACGATTTACTGAAATGAATACAGCACTGAAATAAACTACTGAACAGAAATAAACCCTAAGTTTAACTAAAAATGCTTCTTAACCATCAAAGTTCTACACAATTTATAATTGCATCTTAAAACTTATACCTGAAAACTATTATCGTAATCATAGACCAGTGAAGAAAAACAAGACATTTTAGAAAAAAAACATGAAAAGGAAATTCACTTAAAAATCTAGAATATTAACTGATTGACCCATCCATCCATCCATCTTCCAGCCATTCACCCAGTGCAGGCGTGTGTGTGTGTGTGGGGGGGTGGAGCCTACCTCAGGCAGCACTGGGCACAGAGAGAGAGGACACCCTGGACGGGATGATGGTCCATGGCAGGAATACACTCACAAGGGGACTTCAGTTACATCCATTAGCCTAACTGTATGTTTTTGGCCTGAAGGAAGCTGGCTGTGCAGACTTGACAATTAAACACTGTATTTTAACAGGCTCAGGAAAGTGTGAAACTCTGAAGAGCAAATGGAATCTGAGCAGGCTTGTTCTCCGAATCAACCAAATTGAATGTGTTTAAAGGGGGTCTGTGTTCAAGATCCTGCCAAATGTGATGATAAAGGTACTTTTTATTAACTGCTGGTTTTGGTTTGGAGATGGGGGGGATTCTGTAGAGTTTTCAGGGGCCCGGCCATGTCTTTGTGTGACCCTCCACATGTACAGTTTCCACTTCCTTTAATGACATTTGGGGGATAGCCTCTCATGCGATGTTAAAGGTCCCATGGCTTTAAACACTAAACAGAGTGAAGACCTTGGACATGCAGAACATGAGGAGAACATGGAATCTCCACACCAAAGAATGTGGGCACGACCCAAACGCACGACCTTACAGGTGCTATTATAGTAATGCTATAATAAAGCGATTAAATACGCTGTCTATCCAGATTATATAGCACATTAACTGAATGGCAGAATTCACTAACACTGTTTTTTGTAAGCAACGAATAGACTGTAACTGGATACAAATTGTGCAATGAAACTTTCACATTAGATGGACAATGCTTTTCATCTGAAAGTGTACCGATGTGAACTTAACAAGACCAATTCTATTGGCTATTTTCCTTTCATCCTTTTTCAATAAGCACAGATCATTCTAAATTTGTAACTGTCTGAAGCCTCTTTCCATGTCACACAAGGACAGTCTGCAATCATCAGTAGCAGCTTGAGCATCACTGCATCTACTAGCAAATTTACAGCTGCAACAGGCAATCAGGATGATTTCCTTCCTGTTTGACTCGAACTGTAAATGACTTTAAAAAAACAGAAACTGTCGGCATGCAGAGACATTTCTCTGACATCTAATCATTGGCTTGTTTTAAAGGTCATCATCATGAAAGATGAACAATGCATATGTATTTTATAGAAAATCAAATTGCTTTTTTAGATGAGAATGTAAGGGGGGCACTTATGGAGGTCTTATTTTAAGTAATCATTCTGTTCACCTGGGTAAATGTTTAAAAATGTCTATTGAACCAAAATATGAGGGAGTGGGACTATGAGAGGAACTCAGGAACAACAGTTAATAATGTAATAGAATTGCTGTAATCTTACTGGACAAGAGTGTGCTGCAAAACATTAATTTATTCCTAGTCTATGCATCATAGATAATTTTGCACATCACGTAAACAATGCATGCTGTCGTGTGACTATGAGGAACCAGCAGCCTCTTTCTGCACTGTAGTTTATTGATGTGTGCTTTGATTAGAATTAATAAAGTGTTGCATTATTCAGAGCTGGGATTAGATGTCTGGGTAGCCTGTGTGCTTTTTAGGCTCTTACTGTATCTATGTCGACCTGTTATGCAGAGCTGCATGTCTGGATGGAAGCAGTAATAAAGCTGCATTCGCACTACACGGATCCCCGGTCCAAGGACTTGAAATGCTCTTGTGTTTTCTCTCTTGAAATCCTAGGGATACGACCCATGGAATTATTACTTCTGTCTATTAAATCTGAGCAACCAGGTGACCTTACCATTTTGTCCAAGGTTTGCGCCGCCTGCCTCAGCTGCTTGAGGGCTCCACCGACCGTGGTGGTGGAGATGACGAGAGCCCTACATGACCTCTGTGGGGCCTCTTTTTCTTCTTCCTCCTCCAAGCCACGGCTGCAGTTCATCGCAGTACCAATGTTGTGTAACTGGAGCTCCAGGAGCTGCGCAGAGGACTCCAGCTGCTGGAACTGACTAACAAAGCCCTCCTTGGCATCTGCAAATAACAAAAGGAGGGAAAAGTTGGGCCGTGAAACCGTCACGTAATTGGTTAGTGGCCACTGTTATTTTAGGTGCTTTGAGTTGCCACCTCCTGTTGCCATGAGATTTCTTCGAGTAGGATTTGGGATATTACACTGTGTTACAGTCATTGTTCATGCTAATGATAAACATTCTGTAATTGCAGCTATCAGGATTAGGCATTTGTATCAATATGCAAACAAAATAAAGTCATCGTATGTTGACTGGTATCAGGTCTCCTGGGTATGGCTTTATATGTGACTTGCCCTAGATTGTAAACTGGATCAGACACTTCAGTACCACCTCAGTATCAGAGCCAGCTTAGGTTCAGAATAGCTTTCTCTAATACTGAGATGCTGCTGATGTGCCTGATTATCTGTAACAGGGGTGTTACATTAGGGCTGCAGGGAAGCAGATTTGCAGGAGCGCGGCTGCCCTGACCTATAGAGTAATACATAAAATGCAATAAAATGTGATTCAGTATAGCAAACACAGCTCCAGATTTGAACAGTATATAATGACACTGCAATGTGGAGCCAGACAGCGTGGTACAGTCAGGACCTAAGGAGGGCTTAGCAGAACGTGGCCATCCAGGCACCGTGGTACAGTCAGGACCTAAGGAGGGCTTAGCAGAACGCGGCCATCCAGACAGCGTGGTACAGTCAGGACCTAAGGAGGGCTTAGCAGAACGTGGCCATCCAG